GGATGAGAAAGTTTTAGTTTTGAACCTAGCCAGGTTAGCTCCTTTACATGTCCTCTTTAGCTTATCACTGTTTGTATCATGTGATTTGTAGCTGCAAGACCCTAGCAGACACTTTCGGCATTCAATTTGGAAATCTCTTTCATTAAATGCACCAAGTCAGTAGGTGCATTAAAAATTTTTTTCATGTTACCATAGGCAACAGTTCCTAAATTTTCTTATACTACGTAACGAGGACCTCCTTTCCTCCATCAGGGAAGAGCATGTTCCTTAGTTTCCTGTACATCCTCACTGACAGCCTCCTGGGGCCTGTCAAGTTTCCTTAATAGTCTTGTGTAGCCACAGTGTTGCACTGCTCAGACCTCTTCCAGACAGAACCTGCCACAAGGAGTGCAAAGAGCCGACAACCTCAGGGGCAAGTGCCTGCCAGGTCCACTGCAGCATTCGGGCAGAGGCCCCCACACTCTTCAAGGCAGCTTCCAGTCAATAACTCAACATGGCAGGGCATCCAGGCTTGGCCATTTCTGCCCAACATGCCCATCTTCTGTGACAGTCTTTGTGCTGGAGCTCCCCATTGGCTGAGATTTTCTCAGAGCTGCAGTTAGAGGGTCCTTCTAGCCAATCCTCCTTCCTCTTCCTTCTGCCTCATTTTAGAGGTGTCAAAGTCACATCTAAGCTTGAAAGTCTTAAGGCTTTCCATTTGTACCTCTGCTCCCCCTTTTCTCCTTCTTCCTTAGGCATTACCCCCCAGTAAATCTCTTGCAGTTCTAACTTCTTCTTGGTGTCTGTTTCCTGGAGCATCCAAATGCATCAGCCACCTCAGGGTCATTCCAGCTTGACTGCTCCCTGGCCCCCAGCAATAACCATATGTCTTAGGTTTTTGTTTTGGTAAAGCCCCATCTCCAGGTGCCAAATACGTTCTGATTGCTACTGCTACCAAATGAAAAGTTACCTACCAAATTTAGTAGATTAAAACCATTGTATTTTGCCCACAATTTTGTGGGTTCAATTTTGGGAAAGCTCAGCGGGACAGTTTTCACTTGGGGTCTCTCCTGCTGTTGCAGCCAGATGTTGACTAGAACTGCAGTAATCTAAAGGCTTGACTGGACTGGACATAAAAGATGGCAGACTTGTCTGTTTGGAAGTTGATGCGGTAGCCAGGAACACTGCTGAGGCTGTGATTGGAACGCCCATGTTTGGCATTTCCAGCATGGCAGTCCCAGAGTGGTTGAACTTCTCCTATGGTGGCTGGATTCACCCAGAGCAAGTGTCCCAAGAGAACGAACCAGAATTGGTGTGGCTATGATAGCCATCTAGTGGTATGGCCATGAAAGCCTTATGACATTATTTCTATAGGTTAGAAGCAAGTCACAAGTTTAGCCCAGATTCAAGGTAAGAGGGCAGAGACTCCACCTCTTGATGGAAAGAGTGTCCAGTAATTTGCAGATGTTTTTGGACTTTCACAGTGACAAATATGACAAAAGTAGAAGCCAACACTTAGTCCCACATATAGCCACTTAAAGGCCCTATAGGACCGGCCAGCCACCTGGTGGCAAGTTGATTATACAAGAACAATTCTATTATGGAAGAGAAAGACCCTTATTTTCACTGGAAAATGCACTTATTCTGAACATAAATCTTTCTTCCTTCCCTACAACGCTTCTGCCAAAACCACCATCTGTAGACTTACCTAACAAATATCGTATTCACTGTCATAGTATTTCATGGAGCGTCAGTTCTAACTAGCGACTCAATTTCCAGCAAATGAAGCATGCCAATAGAATGATGCTATAGAATTCAATGAACTTACCCGGAGCAGCTGGCCTGATAGAACAATGAAGTGGCCTTTTGAAGGTTTAATTAAAGTGCCAGCATGTGATATAATGCTTTTTGTGGATGAGGTAATGTTCCTTGGGATATAACATAGAATCTGAATCCCCATTCAATATATGGTGCTGTTTCTCTCACAGCCAAGATGCACAGATCTGGGACCAAGGGATGGGAATGAGTATGGCCTGCTTACTACTGCCCCTACTAATTAACTTGACAACATTTTACTTCCTGCCTCTGGAACCTGGGGCTCTGCTGGTTTAGAGAGATTGGTTCCAAAGGAAAGAGTGCTTTCATCAGAAAACACAACAATGCTGCCTTCTGATTGCAAGTGGAGACAAATCTGGCCATATTGGGGTCTTTGTGCTGTGAACTAACAGGCAAAGAAGGAAGTCAGTGTACTGGCTGGGTGATTTCACCGTCACAAGAAAATGAATAGCTACTGCTCACGGGCAGTAGGAAAGAAGACGGAGGGATTTAACTGACATGCAGATAATTCTTGGGGCATCTTTTTAGTACTTCCAGTTTTGTGGTAACAGTAAATGGAAAACTAAACAGCCCAATACAGATAGGACTGTCAGTAGCATAGAATGTGCAGGAATGAAGACTGAGTTGCCCCATGACGTCAGGAACTACCCCGTGGAGTGGCTTGCTGAAGGAAAGGTAACGTGAAATAAGTAGTGGAAGAAGGAGGTTATAAATATGTTACCAGCTGCAGCCATGTGATCAGCTTCAAACACAAGATCTATAGTAGTGATGGTATTTCTTCCTTGCTTTGATAAGAATATATATGTGTGTAAACACACATATCCATATATAAAAATCTGTCTAGGTTTTGGAACGCTCTTCCCGCAGATATCCTCCTGGTTTACTACCTGACAGCTGGATCTCCTTGGGGAAGAACCCTGCTATACTGCCAAAATTTTATTCTGTAAATCTTCCTTCTAGCTTTCTGCAAAGGGATCCACATTTATGAGGGTGACTGTGCACTGAGAGGAAAGAAACACCCAGACATTTCAGGGATTACTGGACATTGACTCTGAAACAATGGTAATTCCTGGGGACCCAAAATAACACCGTGGACCACATATTTCCATCCACATAGGAATTTATCTATAGACGTAAATCCCTTCACTTTGTTTCTTTTTTTTTCCACTCTAAAATAAGATGTGTTAATAGTGGCTAACTTTATATCTCAATAGTTAATTCATAGGATATAAAAATGAGAGCGTGACTCCTCTAGAAGAGAAATAACCGTCAGTCATGGATGAATAAGGTCACACGTAGGACTCTGTATATCTTTTTTGGGAGAGGGATAATGTCCTCAACTGCTTGGGCTGCCACAAAAAAGTACCATAGACTGGGTACTTAAAACAACAGATATTTATTTCTCCCAGTTCTGGAGGCCAAAAGTCCGAGATCTCCTCCTGACTTAGTACTATGTCCTCAGATGACTGAGAGAGAGCGGTCTCCAGTGTCTCTTCCTCTTTAGAACACAGATCCCATCATGAGGAACCAACCCTTCTGATACTATTTAATCCAATTATCTCCCAAAGGCCCACCTCCAAATACCATCACACTGGGGGTTAGGGCTTCCACATATGGATTTTGTGAGTACACAGTTATTCAGTCCATAACAGATAGCACAGTTTTGTTTGTTTAATGGATAATTGTATTAGTTTGGTCAAAAGTATAATTTTGCTTTCTCTTTATGTAGAAGTTAAATACAGTCCTGACAAATGTACATGATTTCCAAGTTGGTAGAGTTTGCGTTCTGGTGGATTATAATATGTCAAGTTGGCTAAGGCTGGGAACCATTTTCCAGAATTTCCTTCCCTATGTGGTTCCTGGGTAGAGTTGACCATGAAGAAAGGTGTTACACTCAGTCATCTCCATCAGTTGCAGTGACGGAGAGATGCAGAGGGTCAGCCTGCTGCAGCTGACCCTCAATCTCCACCGCTGCGTGTCCATCTCATCTTTCTTACTGCAGGCCTGCTGACGAAGGCTGGCTTCAAGCCCATCCACCAGAATCTTGGCCATGGACCAGTGGGATAGCAGATAAATAGAGGCAACAATTTCAGCAGCATGATAATTTCCATAGACCTCTCCACAAGCTCCCAGTCACAGTCCTACTTCAGCTTCTCAGATTCTGTGCAAGTTCTGAATTGTCTACCTGCGCCAATGCTGCTTCTTCCAATTCTCTACCTCTCCCTTCCAGAGCTTCACTACACAGCTCTTCCCACATTTGTGTCCAATTGCATTCCTATAACCAGTCCCTCATTCTCATCACATTTTTTCTAACTGATGCATTTTGGTTATCTGCTAAACATTAGCAGAGTCTTCCATTGGAAGCCTGTTTAATAGAGAATGGCCCTGTCTGAAAAAGCACCCATCACCCTTGATCCCCTCACTCTGACTCTCCTTCACAGCCCTGAACACTACCTGACATAGTCTGTGTGTATGTATTTGTCTGCTTTGTTACTACTAAATCCCTGATGAACAGAGAGGGGGCTAGCACTGAACAGTTGCTTAATAAGTATTTGTTGAATGAATATTTGGGGAAACTGATTCAAATGCTGCTATATCATGATCAGAGTAACAGTAATTTGTCCTACAATGTATGTGAAATATTGAATTCATAATGTTCTAGATAAAGAAGAGGTAAGATATTTAAAAAGTAAAGAAGGAAATAGTGGAGGAAGAGTGGGATGGGGAGTAAAAAAGTGAAGAAAGAGAATAAGGGGAGAAAAGTAATTGGGGAGGGAGGGGAAGAAGGAGCAGGGAGGAGGAGAGAGAGGAGAAGGGGAGGAGGAGAGAGAGGAGAAATGGAAGAAGGAGAGAGAGGAGGCTCTCAATGAATGGCTGACACTGTACTAAGTGCTTTCTGCCATTTATCTTGAGACAAACCTGTGAGGCAAGTGTTATTATTCCCAGATTATACATGAAGCCACTAAAGTTCAGAGAATTAAAGGACTTGCTGAAGGTCTTTACAAAGTGATTGAGCTGAAATCCAAACACAGGGTGTCTGGCTTAAAAACTCGTATTCTTGCCATTATACCATGCCACCAGAGAAAGCAGACACATCATGAGAAGGAAAATGGAAATGCTGTTTAAAATCATATTAAAGTATTCCAGTTGGGTCTGAAATTATAGGTTTAACTTCTAAGCTTGACCAATTTGCTGAAGTACCAATTTAATACTCAGTCCTTTTATCTATGAATTAATACTTTGTATAAGTAGACAATTTTGGGATTTATAATCAATGTTTTATGCAATAGTTCTATGATCTTACTAAACATTTTCAATACCAACCCTTTATTATAGGCAAATGATGAGTTATAGCATTTAAGACATACATTTTAATTTTAAGCTAGCTTAAGGATATTACTATGCAAAGTAAGTTAAAACACTGGAGTAGCAATATTGACAAATAACTCTGTGTGAATCCCAGGAATAATATGCATGTGGTCTCTACACCAACCAAAACTGGACCTGGTGGGTCTCAGCCAGTGGCAATGCAGCCAGATAGTTCAAATCAGCGGAGGCACTTCAGGGTTGTCTTCAAAGGTTGGGTCTTCCTCGCTTGGTAGAATTTTGGGTTCAGGTCGTCTTCCGGGTGTGTGTTTTTTCTCTTGAACTATGTTAGTCACATCAGGGAATGAGTGCTTGCTAGGATCTACTTCTAGTTTCTCCATGTGCTTGCTTCTACAATAACAAAAAAAGACAAACAGAAGTGGATACTACATCCTTTAAAATTTCAAATAGATTCAACTCACCCATCCATTTATTCAGCAAACTTTGGCAAGTAATGTCCCTGGAGCATAGAAAGAGAGAGAGAGAGAAAGAGAGAGAGAGAGAATGTCCCTAGCGTCAAGAAGCTTAGAGCCTTGTAGATTGTGACCTGTGGAGAAGAAAAGTGCTAAAAAAAAAAAAAAAAGTCACTGGGCTTCTGCTAGTGCACAGGCAATTGGAGGAGATGTCACCTGTGAAACTTTACCTCCCTAAGAATTTGTATTTGATAACTGAAATGATACAGCAAGCAAAGTCCTACAGCCAAGATTAATAACTGAATCCTTCCACGGAGGTCTTATTCCTTAATGCAGCTCATCAGGCTTCTGAACCCTCCTGCTTCAGACAATCTAACTTGCAGGGGTTTGGCAGGGGCATCTACAGAACAAGTTCAGGTGCATAGCAAAGTGCAGCCCCAGCAACCTCTCCTCCCACAAGAACCTGTGCCTTCTGCACTCACTCAGTTCTCTCGGCAATAGCAAGCATGAAACAGAAGAAGGGGGCACCTCGGTTGGCCAATGTTCCCAATATCATGGTCAGATAGAAAACTGTAGGTAATCAGGTCTCTGGACTGCATTCCCTGCAATTTTGATTCAATAAGACTGGAGTTGGGCCCGGTGGCCTGTATTTTTATAACATTCCCCCAAATTATATTGATAATCAGTCAGATTGTTTTGGAGTCACTGCACCATTCATTCAAATGTCCATTGAACAGATACATGTTAAATATCTGTGATATTCCAGGTGATGTATAGGCACCAGGGAAACCATGGTCTGTGCAAATACACATGGTTCCTGGTAATATCTAATAGCACAATGTGGCTTGAACATAGAATTTATGACACTGTCATATACCTGTTTCATTATGTGTCTGTTTTCACACAATACTTGTATCTTTGATGCAAAGATTTTGTCTTTTTCATCTTTTATCCTAGGCAGATGGCTGTATTGAATAAATGTTGTTGAATAGGTGAAAAAACCATTTTTTTTCTATTGGGGAAATAATGAAATTATAAAAGAAATTATCTCTGACCTAAAGAAAATCACAGTCAGTTGAATCCAGGAGCTCTAAACTGATGCCTTCAGACTAAGCTTATCCAGTGAACACCCTTTGTCAGGGCAGGAAGATTCCATTTTCTTTTGAAAGTGTCAGCTCTCTATTGTCTTTGCAACCATCTCCCTTCATTTCTGTAATCTGCCTAGCCCTTGAAGGCATTTGAGTTTTTGATCCTCCACACTATTTTGACTAATACACAAGGACCTGCTGAAGAAAAAATGCAAAATATACAAAGAATATGAAATAGTATATTCAGAAGTCCAAACAGCATACCATAAACTCCATATGCCACAGGAAGGAGAAAAAATGGAAAGGGGCTTGTGTAGCCTCTGAAGGGGTGAAAGAGGTGGGAATTCAAAGATGCCCTGAAAGATGTGAAGGAATGTGGGTGAGCAGTAAAGACAGAATTAATGCTCCAGAGAAATGAATGGTGCTGTGGTCATGTCCTGAACATACCTTCCGCTCAGATGCCTCGGGGCCACAGTATTCACTGAACCACCTGCCTTTAAAAGAATAGAGTTTTGTGGTGTCAGCTATGATGCTGCTTATTCTTTTCTGCATAGTCAGTCATCATAAGGTTGGTGGCTGACTGTGCAGAAAACAGTAAACATGGCAGACCAGAGATGACTATCTTTAGAAGGTAGGCCTGCAAGGTTGGGCATTGGCTGGTAAGCTGTTCCCTACAGCCACATGAAACTTTCCCTAAACAATAAGGGTAGCTCATTATGCCTTGCAATGTGCAATGTGTGCAGTCAATTTGGTTTACGCTTTCCTTCTGGGACTGCATAACATTGGCACCTGCTAGGCAGAGGGTGCCTACCACCAGCACCCAACAAAACCCTGAGCATTCAGTCTCTAATGAACTTCCCTGATGGACAACATTTCACGTGTGTTGTTGCAACCCACTGCGGGAGGAATTAAGCATGTCTTGTGTGACTCCACAGGGAAAGGACCCTTAGAAGCTTGCACCTGGCTTTTTCTGGACTTAGGCTTTTGCTGATTTTGCCTCCTATTCTTTTGCTGCAACGAATCTTAGCCATGAGCGTAATTATATGCTGAGTCCTGTGAGTTCCTCTAATTAATCTCTGAACCTGGGGTCATCCTGGGGACCCTCGACACACTGTCTTTTGTTGAGCCCCATGCTAAGGCCTTTACTTGTGTCATCAAATCCTCAGACCCAGTGGGAGGACAAGAGGAATAGTCAGCCAAGGTCCCACAGATAAACACAGGCAGAACTAGTTGGGAACTGAATCCAAATCTCTGGTATTCACATCACCATACTGTTCCTCACAGAAAATGAGGCACCAAACACACAGCATAAAGAGGGGTTTTCTATTCTTGACGTTTGGCACATAAGCTTATATCCATCAAAACAAACAGTTCTCCAGGTCAGCATGAATATTGAAACCAACTGTGTTACGACACAGTAAACCCACAACCTGCTAGGCCCTCTTTCGTCTCATTTATTTCTTGGTAATCAAGAAACAAAGTTCGTTACTGCAAGTCAAGAGGCAGTAGAGCGTCTAGGGTAGCTTGCAAGATCCTGGCTTCTACCTGCTAAGCTGTTGGCCCTTGTGAGTTACTCAGCCACTTTGTGCCTCAAAGACCTCATCTTTAAAATAGGGATGATGACAATGAACATAGGGCCTCTGTCAAGATCAAATGAGTTCATCCATGTAAAGGACACAGAGAAGTGCCAGAAACACAGCAGGCATTCCATAAGTGTCAGTGCCATGTAGGAAAAGGGTCGCATCAGTCAGAATGTACTAGGATATGGGTAAGAGTTGGTAATGCAATTCACTATGCTTTTCAGCACACATCTTTTAGGTGTCCAGTGCTGTAATCAGTGCCAGGAATTTAAAGATGAGTAAGACATGGTGTGTGCCCATAATCAAAGGAGGAGGACACACATATACTTGGCTATTTTGCACCAGGGTGGCAAGGGCTCTGCAAGTAGGATAAACAAGTCAGGTTAAAGCACAAGGAGACAACATCACCAAGGCCTGGAAGGAATTACGGTAGGAATCATAGAGTAAGGGAACTGGCACCTGGCACTGGGGGCAGGGTGGGGGTGGTATTTTCCAAGATTTTGAGGAGGAAGAACATTCCAGAGAGGTAACACTGACAACAGGTAAGAAAATATTTGTTCTGCTTACTCTTAGCCTGATATCTGCAGAGAGTGAGGCACCCAAGGTGGGGATGGGGGAAGGAGTGGGAGTGTCTGGCCCAGTCCAGTCAGGGTAGGGCCTGGGTGAGTGAGGGAAGCTTGGATGGCTGGGTAAGGTAATCTGTTGAGGAGGCTGCCTGGAGAAGTGTTTAAGGTAAGACGCTGAAAGTCTTAAGCTCTGCGGCAAGTGCTGGTGCCACAACTCTTGGGAACTGGGGCACCTCGCCCATCACATTTTTCTTTTCACTTTTAGATACTCAAGCAGTAAGGAGTGTGCTTATTTTTAGGAAAGTTAGAGACGGATTTTTCAAGTAAGGGAATGATGTTTAACAACCTATTTATTATATTTAGTGTCATGTAAATACAGTTAGAAAACAGAACACTGACACTACTTCTTGTTACTGTCCTGCTAAGTTTCCAATTTTTCTTTAATTGCTATTTGTCACAAGATAATTTACCTTCTCTTTCATTGGCTTCTCACAATTCATGTACCCGTTCATTCAATAAGTGTTTACTGAGTACCTACTATGCACCCAGGTTTGTGTGTGTCCTGGAGACTGAAAATGAAAAGTTGTCTTCCTATCCTCAATAACCTTACTAAGAAGATAAAATAATACTATTGTCATTAGGAAAAAGAGATGTTATATAGTCATTATTGTACTTAAAGAAGCTATATGATGTGTGCCCAAGTGAGACAATTTGACTGACCAAATTGACCCAGTTGTTTTGGTGAATTGAAAGGGATGTGTTGCTGTTTTTAATCATCTCTCAATATAAGTTGGGTATCCCTAACCTGAAGTTCCGAAATCCAGAATGCCCCCAAATCTAAACTTTTTTGAGCACTGACATAATGCTCAAAGGAAATGCTCAATGGAGCACTTCAGATTTTCCAGTTAGGAATGTTGAACTGGTATCATGCAAATATTCCACAATCTGAAAAAATCCAAAATAAAAGCAAGTCTGGTCCTAAGCATTTTGGATAAGGGATACTCAATCTGTATGTTCACAGTCTTATCTGATGCTCACACCATCACTGAGCGCCCCCATCCCTTCCCTCCTCACTGATGCGGATGTGGGAGAAGGGAGAGGGGCAGGGGTCCATTAGAGGCTGAAGCTGAGGGTCAGGCTCAGGATTGGGGCAAGCACAGATATTTCATTTCTTATGTGGTGATTTTAATACTTTTTAAGCCTTTTTATTGAGTGCAATACATGTATAGAAAAGTGACCAAATCATAAGAGTGAAACTTTCATTAATTGAATGCACCGTGGATTAAGAAGAACATTATCAGCATTCTAGGAGCTCCTACTTGCCCTTCCAGCCATGATGCCCCCACTGAAACCACCATCTTGGAGGCTACCATTTTGCCTACCAAGCCTTCCTTCTCACGGAGGGTGCTAGTATGAGGATTTGCTATTTGAAACTCCAGAGTTCATCTGTGACACTCAAGGAAAGGCCAATAGAATACAAAGATGCTGACCTGGGGTCTTAACTGCTAAGCTGGTGAACCACCTACAAAAGCACCTTCTTCCAGAATAATTGTTCTTTGAGGCAATAAAACATCCTACATTTTAAAGTCCATTTTAGGTATTCTATTACTAGTAGCCAAATATATCCTGATACAAGTCAGGTCCAAATATCATCTATCAGTACATATAGAAACATAGGGAAAAGAATGCCAACTTCTCCCTGGG